GAGAGAGAGAGAGAGAGAGAGAGAGAGAGAGAGAGAGAGAGAGAGAGAGAGAGAGAATAGAAAAAATGCTTAAAAAGAAAAGCTATCCCTTGACTTGGGCATATTTGTAATATCGAGAAGATCCATGTTTGTCAAGATAGATCTTTGTCGATCTGAGAAGGTCTGCAGTTTGTGAAATGCTCTCACGTCCCAAATCTATTTCTGAGTGTGTGTATACGTTTGTATATATTCAGTTGTGTGTATGTGTATCTGTGTTTGCAAGTTATATGAGAATATATCTGTGTTTGAGAGCATGTAAGTGTGTGTGTGTGTGGTGTGTATATCTGTATACGTGAGTATATGTGAGTATATCTGTGTTTGAGAGTGTGTATGTATGAGTGTGTAAGTGTGTGAGTGTGTATGTGTGTGTGGTGTGTGTATTTGTATACTTAGATGTGTTTAGGTGTATATATGTGTGGTGTGTGTATATCTGTATGTGAGTATATCTGTGTTTGAGAGTGTGTATGTATGAGAGTATGTGAGTGTATGTGAGTGTGTGTGTTAGTGTGTGTAAGATGATTTGTAAGACACTTATAATTTGAACTTTTAATTCCTATCTTTGTTTTGAATCTACTTAAAACACGCCATTTATTTGTTGAAGTTTGCACTGTGTTCCACAACAGCATTGTAGCTCGTGGGCATCCAGTTCCTCAATGAATACTTCCAATTGCAGCCATCAGAATACGACAACTGGAGAAACAACCATTGCCCCTTTGACCACCAAGATACATTTGGAAATTCCAGTTAAAAGAAGAAAGTTTCTTCTCTTCAATTTTCTCTGCGAAAGTTTAATATAATATTTGAGTTCAAAATAATGAGACATAAAAGAGCAATAAATCAAATAAAATTTAGAGCATTGATGATCAGAATATTAAATGCCAAGGAAATAACAAGTTTACCATTTTTCTGGGAAGCCTGCCTATCTTTTCCTCACAGTAGAAGCTGTGTGGAGAGCTGAGCAGAAGTGTTCTCTGCTGGCTGAGGAGGCTTCAGGCCCTGCCCAGTAACTGGCCCTGAAGAGGAGGTGCCACTGACATCCTCAGAAGGTGGTGCTAGTGATGATTATTTGAAAAAGCGGTCTGGGAATAATTTCAAAACCAGGGAACAAATGCAGGTGTGCGTGGACAGCTTGCACTTTCATCCACGTGGAGTTGTAAAGCGATATAAAAAAGAAGAGAGAGGTTACGTATTTACAGCGGATATATTTCTGAAAAATTGAGTCTGTAAATGCGCTTTAACCATTCATCATTTGGGTTCCTTCAATGATATCAGAATTTTGGAAGTATGCGAATAGTACAACCTCCGTGTGATTTTTAACTCCATTGGTTTAAAAGAGGACTTTAACCCAAGAGCATTGCACTGAAAGCTGCTCGGTTGGTACGGACTGGAAGGAAATGCAGATGTGTGCAAGCAAAGATGTCTTTATGTGAAAACTCTCCATGCGTGCGCACGGGCCAATCCCCTTACAGAATATTGGCTTTGTCATGTTGCTTATCCAGTGCCCTTCCGTGTATGAGATTAAAAATTATTATTTCTTA